TGATTTTTCTCCGATCGTGTCGGTTTACCGTCCCATCGGATTATGAGAGTGAGGGAATAGAGAGTGCACCTGCGCTTGCGCATACACTTGGGCACTATAATCCTCTCCTGCGCCGATGGCTAGTCTCCGTTGAGGCAGGCCGCCGTGGCCGAAATTCGGTCTGGAGGACATTTTATTGGGGTATCTATGTAATTTTCTCACCTGGTTGGGTTCTATAAATATATAATTATAAATGGATACATAACTATCAATAAAATAAAATAAACACAAAAACTACATAAATAAATAAGATCCAACCAGATGGGAGCCCTCGGCAGGGGAGACCAAACGGCCGAGGGTTAGGGGGAAAGGGAAAGAAACCGGCGGATGATGCGGGCGGTATCGAGGAGCACCGCCTTCTGCATTTGAGCCCGGAGCGGTCCGTCACGGAGTCCCAGTCGCCTCAGATGACCCGAGAGGCTGACTGGGATTAGCCCATTCGCAGAGACGACTACAGGGATAATTTCGGTCGGCAGACCACCCCACATGTCGGTCACCTCGTGAGCCAGGTCCAGATATTTTGTTCGTTTCTCTGTTTCGGCTTTCACGAGGTTCTCGTCATACGGAATGGTAATGTCGATCAAAAATATCCTTGACTGTGCCCGGTCCATCAGCACAATATCAGGCTTATTCGCAAGAATAGTCCTGTCTGTGATGATGGCCCGGTCCCAGTAGAGCTTGGCGCGGTCATTTTCGAGCACGGCTTCCGGCAAGTACTTGTAATACGGCAATTACCGGTCCACGAGACCGTATTTTAGAGCGAGCTCCTGGTGTAGAATTCTGACTACTAGGTTGTGCCTGTGCAAGTACTCAGAGTTAGAAGGCCGCCGAACAACCGGAGATGACATGCCTAAGTGACTCCCCGGGATGGCGACAAGCTCGACAGACGTCGACAGTGCCATCCTTTAGGATGTATCTCCGATAGTTGTTGGTCTTAATAACCTGATCCTGTATTGCACAGACAAAACCCTCGGTTTCCCCGAAGAGGTCACCGAAACGTAGCCAGTTGAGGGAGGCGGCTGTATCTACGTGAGGCTCATGTAGAGCCCTGTAGTACCTCCCGTGGAGCTCCTTCTCCTTCCATACGGTCTCCCGGTCGGAAATGCTCTGTACTGCCGGGTCTTGCCATTGCTCGTTGGCTAAGGATAGAGGGGTAAGTCATTTATTACTAGAAATGACGTCATTATAGAATGGATAATCCGATCTCGCCAGGAAGTAATGACGGAGGCTGCACACTTCGCGATTATGCTTTCGCGGCAAGTACAGCCTCATTACCGACGATCTAGGATGATGCATCCTATGGGACGTCGTGTTAGTGCGGAATTTTCTATCCAGGGCGTTAAGTTGGACTTACCACCTGAGTATGCCAAAGGTATACATGAGGACAGGCATGATCCAACCGTCATAGGCGTGTGTATTGAATAAAACACACGCATATAAAATTCCGACGGTTGCCTTTCACCACTTTGCCTATGACCGCGTCAATGAGGAGTGGTTCTTTGGTTCCACGACCACCGCCCCGACATCCATTTATTGTTATTATTATTAACACTATTATTGGTCATATTATGTATAGCAAAAAGGCTTATACCAACCGATATTTAAATTTTTTTATATATAGAAGAGGGGGCAAACCAGCATGCGCTCACCTGATGTTAAGTTACTACCGCCGCCCATGATCAACCGCAACACCAGGGGAATTGCAGGTGCGTTGCCGGCCCTTTAGAAAGGAGTAAGCTCTTTTCTTGAAGGTCCCCAGGTTGTATCGGTCCGGAAAAATCTTTGGTGGTAAACTATTCCACAAAGAGGTAGTACGTGGAAGAAAACTCCTTGTGAAACGTACAGTGGTGGACCGCCAAGCATCCAGATGATGTGGATGGTGTAGGGACGTTTGCCGCGTAGTGTGTTCACGAAATTTGGCGGCTGGGATTAATCCGAACAATTCTTCAGAGCACTCCCCATGGTATATGCGAAAGAAAATGCAAAGAGATGCAACATCTCTTCGCAGCGCCAGTGAATCGAGCCGATCGGAAAGCACTCGGTCGTCGACGATTCGAGCCGCTCTGCGCTGGATGTGGTCAAGTGGAAGGAGCTGGTACTGGGGAGCCCCAGCCCAGAGATGGGAACAGTATTCCATGTGCGGCCGAACCTGCGCCTTGTAAAGTCGCAGGCGGTGTGCCGGCATGAAATACTGTCCCGCTCTGCTGAGCACGCCAAGCTTTTTAGAGGCCAATATGGCCTTCTCTTCCAAGTGACCACGAAACTGCACGTCACTCGATATGTCGACGCAAAGAATTCCGATACTGGCTGAGACAACAAGGGGAGTGCCTTGAAACTGAGGAGATAAGATAAAGGGGTTCTTTTTAGCGGTTAACGCGCAAACTTGTGTCTTCTGGGGTTAAACTGGACTAGATTTAGTCGCCCCCAATCAGAGACTCTGTTCAGCAAAGACTCGACTTTAGACACTAGTTTGTCCCGGTACTTGGAGACGTTTTTCCGAGAAATGGTGAATCTCACCATCATTCTTCATAGTTTGCTACTGTGGGTAAATATTTGTTTCAGAGAGCACAAGGGATCTGTGACAGAATACATCTGGCCGCCGAGCTTCGGCAAGTTAAGCAAGTATTGCAAGACAACAAGCTTTGGGTCCCAAGCCTATGTCACAGCGACCGAGTGAAGCCTGCCACAGTCGGTAGATGGGTGCTGCCATCTGCTTGGGATCCTATAATTAACTTCAACACACTACACTGCAAGACTTCAAGATACTGTGAGCTCATATTATGTAGATCGGGACCAAAAATCAATATTCAAAAACTGAAGATAGCCGGATTAACTATGATATTGAGACGTCAAACATCTCAGTTCTCTCCTATCCCCGTGACCATAAGTTTTATGTGTATTGTTCGCGTAAATTTAAGAAATCATTAGATTTCATGTACACACACACACATACATATATATATTTTTTTTTTTATATATATATATATATATATATAATATATAATAAATTTCAAATAAAAATTGATCAATTTATTTATTTATCAATAATCAATAAATCCAAAATTTATCAATCAACGTCCCAACCCTGTCTTATCACTATGGTTCGGAGCATTCTAAGTTCAATTATCCAATCACAGCGCATTTGACACGTCCCCCGCAACTTGAAATTTGGTGAAATCGAAATAGAATAAATATTCCATGATGCAGTATCTATTAGGAGGTAATCTGTGAGTTAAGTATACAGTTGTGTGTTTTTCTTGCGCTCCCCTGATGTTGACCGAATTTTTGTTTAGGAATTAATGCGCATGGCCTCTTCAGTTGGTTGAATACTCAAAACCAGCTAGCCGCTTTTGTATGTATGAACAGATAGTTTCAATAACTAGTTACGTTTTGAAACGGCCACTCCTATTTCATACAACTAATTCTAAAATGCGGCGTGTACGCTCCTGACAAATGTACTTTTAGCTTAAGTCTTAACCACAAACTATAACATAATAAGAGTGCTAACGTAGTCTTAACTTAGGGGCATAGACTTACCAGTATATTCTATAATTATAAGTCTATGCTTAGGTGTAAAAATTATATTCTGTGATCAGTGATATAAATTTAGTTTATACGAGATCCATGGAGGTTTAAGAGAAGGAGAACGATCGCTACGTGCTAAAGCATATTCCGCATGTCCCTGAAAATTTGCAGAATCTATAGCCGCGCTGCCGTCGATAAGTAGTCTCTGCGAAGTTAGCTTTTTGTGAGTACAAGTAGATCAAGTTAGTTGAATAATGTACAACTTAATCGTAAAAATATAATATAATAATATAGTAAAAATTTAATCGAAAATAATCGTGCTCCGTAATTTTTTACTTTATTTATTTTAATATAATAAATAATAAATCCATAATAAGTAATAATTTGTATTTGTAATAATTATAAAAACATAATGTATAATTTATTTGTTAATAAATAATAAAAAATTATAATTACATTATTTTCTTTTTTTTTCCTTTGAATGATTAGCCCTTCTGAGCCTATCATTTCTTTCAGAATCTTCATTTTATATATTTTTTCTTCGCAATATGCTGATGCGTCACATTGTTAAGTTTTTGGGAGAATTTGACGACAACCTAGCGAACTATTGATGACGACAGCCACTCAAGTTCATAAGCCGCTCAAGCGATCAAATTAACTTGAGGTTTATATCAACATCAAATCACTTGTTTCGTCGTTTTCTCTAATAGTTCACACGCGCAGACGCTTAATTCACAAAATCACATTTGTATTACGAATTAAAATCCATTTCAAACCATTATTCAAGTGATAAAACAGGAGCGACTGTCCGTCGTCGACCAAGTTCCCGCTAAAACTTTTTGAAGTATATTATTTACACGTATATAGTTTATATACGTTGATAGATAGTTTCAAACTTTGATAGCGCACAAATTTTATAGCGCACAACAGCCCGCTTTTATTGAGACAACTTAGCGATCGCAGCACTTCACTTATTATGTCCATATTTCTAGGATACTATTTTCTACAGCGATCGTTCTCCTTCTCTCTAACCTTCATGACTATGAAGGTGATGTTGGTGATGATGGTTCATGATATATAGATGTATGATCTTATCAATGCTGCAAGTTCTCTAGTACCATCTAGTACATAGTCAGTAATCTATGCTGCAAGTGGTAAAAATTATTACGTTTAAATTTTGAATAACTATTTCTTCAGTATAATAAAATGATTGAATTATTAATTTAGTTTGTAATTTTTATTTTTATTAATTTTTGCATATCATATTTTTTAAAACTGTAATTATCCTTATTTTTAATTTTCAATGTTTTGTGCAATAAGGCTCGAAGGACTCTTAACAAAGTATTATATTAAAACTATTACAAAATAAAAAAAATGTCTGAAATCTGAAATGTTGTTTAAATGTCAAATTTAGTGAAATTTCTTTTATTTTCGCCATGTCCAGTAATTTGTGAGTTGTGATTTCTAATGGATGGTGCCTAAATACCTTTATTTTTATCATCATTATTAAAATTCCAACATGAACGGGTTAAGTTTCAGTGAACTCTGTTGCCTGTTTTGTTGTCCGCCATGCCCGGGGAAAATCGCGGCTAAGCTTGCATTCCTGCCTCCTGAACCCACGTATGCATTTACACCTGATGAAACGGGATCAAAATTTTCATTGACGCTCACTGAACGTGCAGAATGGCAATATTCAGAACGAGAAAAAGAAAACATTGAAGGTTTTTACTCTAGAACTACGCGAGGCAATCGTATTGCTTGTCTCTTTGTTCGCTGCAGCCCTAATGCTCGTTTTACGATATTGTTTTCTCATGGTAATGCAGTAGATCTTGGACAAATGAGTAGCTTTTATTTAGGTCTAGGTACTAGAATAAACTGTAACATATTCAGTTATGACTATTCTGGTTATGGTGTGAGTGGGGGAAAGCCTTCAGAGAAGAATTTGTATGCGGATATTGATGCTGCATGGCAAGCACTTCGGACTCGTTATGGCATCAGCCCAGAGAACATTATTCTGTATGGTCAAAGTATTGGTACAGTGCCAACAGTGGACTTAGCAGCCCGTTATGAGGTGGGTGCAGTGGTATTGCACTCTCCACTCATGTCTGGCATGCGAGTGGCTTTCCCAAATACCAAGAGAACATGGTTTTTTGATGCTTTTCCTAGGTGAGTGTTTAATATAAACTTTTAATATTATGTGCAATAGTATGATGAGTGCAGTTTTAACCTTTGAATTATACTATCACTGTTAGTTGAACCACATTGAACCAATGAAAGTTCTTAAAAATAGTTTTTGTATGGAAAACAAGTTTTCCTTTGCTTGACACTTTGACATTTGTTTTTCAGAAAGAATAGTAAGACAATAACAATGAACTGTATATGGTACATGGGGCAGGAAATAAGTAAAAAACATGTTTAATTTTTTTTTTGACCCATTGACAAACTAGTTTAAACAAAAACATGTAATGTGGCATACATTGACAAGGGATTATTTCAACACAATGTTAATTATTCTTTAATAACTGTTTTACATTACATTATCAATATTGGTGTAAGTGATAAATCTAACAGTTTTAAAAACTGTTGAAAAAAATATTATGTATGAGGTAGATATTAGGAAATGCAAACTGGGTTACTCGAAAACCAAAAAACCAGCTTTTCGGCATATTTGAATTATTTAAACCCCGGTTAGTTTTTCGTTCACGTTTCTGGTTTTATGGGTTTTCTTATTATTTTCAAATAGCAACACCATGTGTCGGTCAAAACAATGTATTCTGGGAATCACAATAGAAACACTACAAAAACGTCAAGTAGTTAGTGTAACAATGTACGATGCAGAAAATGCTAATCTATCTGACTCTGATATTGACGATGAAGAAGATGGTGTATCAATTGAGATAGAAAATAGACAAAGATCCAGTGTTTCTAATCAATACTACAAGGACTTGATTCAAAAAGTTAGACAGGTTGTGAAAATTTTTAGAAAATCTGCCACTTCAAATGATGACATGCTACAAAAGTATGTAAAAGAGAACTTTGGTCATGAATTATGTGTGATTTTGGACTGCAAAACGAGATGGAGTTCATGAGGCGATATGGTTACAGTGTTACAGAAAGCGTTGCTGGACTTAAAATCGGATATTCGTTTCACAGATGATGAAATTACCTCTCTAAATCAATTAAAAGGAGAACTCGAAATAGTGAAAGGAGTTGTTGAAGTCTTGTCCTTAGAAGTTGCAACTATTCTTACAGGTAAGACTGCGTTAAAGTTCATATTCAGAAAACTGTCATGAAACATGCCTTCATGGTAGTCTGAGTTTTGAACTGCAAAAGGCTTTACAAAAGAGAATAGGTGAGAGATACCTTTTAATACACAGTGTTCTGAAATATTTAGATGACACTCAAGTATTTTTCAATGACATTGACAGTATTCTATTTTTCAAGAAAACAACAGATAAGCAGATTTCATAAAATCTATTGTATCGAAAATGGTCACTGACGATGACGACAGTATTGCTTTGGCAGAACATCAGAGTTTGAACACTGCTTCTTTAACCACTACTTTTGAAGTTTGAAAGAGAAGCTTTTGCATGCATTGAAACCAACAAAGAGCTGTACTAAACCATCTTTATCTGCGCTAAATTTAGAAACCGAAAAAATGGTGTTCTGTGAAATGGCATTGCACGAGAATGGCGGTGGGTGCGGGAGTTTTTTAACAAAGGCATACAAAGCTCTCATCACAATCAAACCCAAAGTGTCGAATTAGAATGTACATTTTCGACAGCTGGTTATTTCTGCAGCAAAATAGGGTCTCGTCTTAATGATTCCACTTTTGATGCTTTACATTTCTCAGGATCCCATTTTCTTACCAAAACATTCCAGGGTCTGCATACCAATTTTGTATAACTACATGCTAGAACAGATTCAAACTTTGCAGATATATTGAGAAGACCAATCAATGTCGTATCAATGAAGTAGCCCTTGAGTTTAAGTTATTTATTTATATATTTATTTATTCAATCTTTATTATACACCTTACACTTACACTAAGGAATATAAAGGGCGGACTTAATGCCTTATGCCATTCTCTGCCAGTCAACCCTGGATGATTTGAGAAACTGTGGCAGGTGTAAACAATCACTTCATAAATAAGTATTAAGGATATAAAACAAAATAAAATGCAAATAAATAGAATAGATATAGTTAGTAAAATATACATACTTACTTAATATATAATATAGGATAAATAATAGATATATTTATATATATGATTTAAGATTAAAATTTCTGGTTATTTTTAAGGATTTATTGCAAGTGTTTTATAATTTCTGTGAAGTTAAATTAGAGTTTGTCATTAACTTGGTTTTGAAATAGACAGCTATTCTGAGTCTGATACTTCTCCATTATCTAATACCCAGTTTTTTCTAAACAGTATTCCTATTAGTAAACTCATTTGGAATAGTCTTTTTTGAGGAAATTTATGTTAGATGAAATAATCTATTACATCAATACTTATTCTTTATTTATGTAACTTTCATAAATGTAAATAAAGTTCACCCTATTAAGTCACTAAAATATTTTGTAATTTTCATGAGATTTCAATTTTGAATTGTTTAAAATAAATAAATTTTACCTTATTTTGTGTTAAATGAAAAATAACTTTTTCTCTGTATATTCTATCATCACACTATAAAATGTCAATTATTTTTGTTAATGTACAATTTAGTGGGTTTTTTTTATTTTTACTTTTTGTTTTCACAGAATCTGGTGACATATTTTATTTTTCCTGATAAATTTTTACACACATAACATTTTTTTAATCACCTATCTAATATAAATAATCTGAAACAAACGAAATTCATGATATATGTATAAAAATTACATATCTCTGGCTTTATTGTGTATAATTTGTTTTTAATCAAAAACAAAATATTTCTTTGTTTATAATATGTATAGTCCTTACTGATAAACAATTGGATTAGAAATGTTGGCTAACTGTCGACATACACAGTACTAATAGTGAAAACCTGCTAATAATGGTATATCATTATAATGTCATATTATTTGGTTAATTGGAAATTTTATACTAATGGGAAAATATTCAAAATAATTGTATACATTAAGTTTATAAGTAACAACCTGCGCTGACTCCGCTGGGGTGCAATATATTAATGTGGAGTTATTTAGATTTAAGATAATTATTAAGGACCATTTATTTTATCTTAACAATATTTCTATTTTAATAGAATCTAAATTTTTGAATAAAATTTAACCTAGATCACTCCTCTCAATTTTTTCTTGAAGTTATATTACAATTGGTTCAGCCATTCTGGAGATTAGCTAGGACAGACAAACAAATGACAATTTTGTAAATGGTTACTCATGTCTCAATAGCAATAATTATGGAGAAAACTCAGAACGCATCCTTGCTCATAATTTAGCAAAACTGGACTGTGTTTCTGTAGTTTATAGTATTTTGTTATTATTGATTCCAATGACAAGTTGGACTAAAGTTATAATGAATGTACAAATAAGTGCATAATGTCTTTCTGACCAGTGTGAGTATTAATAATGACAGTGTGCAATAGTATTTTGTTATTATTGATTCCAATGACAAGTTGGACTGAAGTTATAATGAATGTACAAATAAGTTCATAATGTCTTTCTGACCAGTGTGAGTATTAATAATGACAGTGTGCAAGCGAGAGGTTTCCCATTCTTTTTTTATTTTTTTTATTCATGATAACAAACAATCACATAATAATGCTTAAACCAAATAACAATTTATAAATGATATTAGTCATTATGTAACCAGCACCGTTATTCACAAAGTAATATTAAATTGGTAAGAGTTAAAACAAAGTAAACAGAGTTTATGTGAAAAGAGAAAAAAATAAAGTAACACAAAATATTAAATTTAGTTAAGTACTTTATTTATGTCACTTTACAAATATAATCAGTAATCACAAAATTTTATTTTAAAACTTATAAAATTAGTTCTTGTACTGCACTAAGGCACAGAATAAATAATAGTACTACGTAGCTAATGCCAAATTATGGTGGAAAAATACTAATTTCTCTGCATTGAAAGGTAACAAGTAGTTTTGCATGTCTTCATAAACTAGGCCAGCTTCAGAAAAAAGTCTTTCGCTGTACGTACAGCTGCAAGGTGCTAAAAGATAGATTTGGCAAATATTTGGATAAATTGGGGTATTGTGTAGCAATACACCAAATATAAAGGTCACGATTGTGAACAGTTCGCACTGACTTTACTTTTCGCTTTTTGCGATACACCAAATGACAATGTTCGGCAGAATATCCGGCGGCCGGATATCCGAATATCCGGCGATAAGACTGGCCGAATATCTGGTATCCAGTATTTGGCCAAACAGCTATCCTGTTCATCTCTAGCAATAACCAATTTAATTTGTGAAATATTTAGAAATACTATTGAGTATCCAACAACCTTTTAAAACATTCTTGCAAAATTGTAAATGTGATAAATTGAATAGGTGAATATTTAAAAAATATGTGTTGTACACTTTCATAATAAGTCTTAATGGGGTGCATTCACCTTCAATTGATTTTGCATAATAAAGGCGCAAACAATTTATGTTTGTACACCTCTCTAACTACACCGCCTTCTGCTTCTTTAACCACACGGGTAGTAATACAGACACTAGAGATGTCCTAAGATCTTTAGAAGAAGAAGTTAGAAGTTTGTTTCAAAAACATAATTATGGGTGTGCCATTAATGGATATAAACAATTCATATTCAATTACCATATACTCATAGATCATTTCATGTATGATAAATAAGATATATTATTAAATGATAACTTCATAGTAGTAATTAAAGAAGTTTCCTTGACACCACTATGCTCATAAATTATCTTGTGGTTTTATTCTTTATAATTTATCTTTTCATTTTAGTTACACATTACATTTTTCCTGTGTGCTGCTTGTAGCATGCAAAATGGAATTCATAATATGTATCTTTTTATGTAGGTTTCTCATTATATTCATGTTGTTTGAATGAGCAATAAACAAAGGTTCTTTTTATCTAAATGAATAATTCCAAGATTCCGTTATATTTAATAAAGATAAAGTTATGACGATATCATGTCTAATTCCTGATTAGAAATTAAGGCTAATTTCAAGATATCAGTGTTTGTTTTCCTAGTTATGTCCAAGTCCATTTTTGTTATAAATAAGTAAATTATTTCAATAGTGATAATACCCAGCCTGGACACTAATTCATATGGATTTCATTATGTAATAATTAACATAAATTCCTAATGTTTTGTGAACTTAGGAGTTTTACTCTCTTCTACTCATCTGTAAGACTTAATGTATGCATGATGACACGAATTCTGTAAGAAAGTGGGACATAGGTTTAACAGGAGCCTTTTGAAACAGTTGATAATATGATAAATAATGAGAGTATTCAAACAAGTGTGTTTAAGATCAACCTCATTTCAGAGTAATTAAACATGAAAAATAACATTAATAGACTTAAGGAGACATAATACAGGCAAATTTTAAAAACATGGAAAAAAATTACTGCCCGTCATTGTCAACTTAGCCTAATATTTATTGTTATTAAAAACAAATAATAAAGATATTAATAGTTACCTTGCAACCTTCCGCTCAATTCAATGATGTGTCTTAGCTACTTTTTAGAGCACCTCCCGCCCTCCTTCAATTGCGTGCACTAATCCTGTCACCACTAATCCCAGCACCACTGTTCCCAACACCACTGTTCTAGGAAAGACACACCATCGACGATAATACGACACGTGTTGCGTCTCTACACAAGGCATCTTCAGGGATTAGCACGCAATTGAGGGAGGACTGGAGGTGCTCTTCAAACTAGCTAAGACATATCTTTTAATTGAGTAGAAGGTTGCAAGGTAACTATTAATATCTTTATTATAATGGATTTCCACAAAGTAACGCCTGATTCTACCAATTATCTAAAAACAAATAATTTATTTGTCAGATTGATCTACAATCTACATGATAAATCGGAAAATTTTATTTGTTTTTTTTTTTAGATATTGTAATTATATGAAACATGCACACCAATATCTAACAGTGTATGAAATAATGTTCTTAAATTTAGAATTAAGTTGAGTAATGAGTTTTTATACAATACATTTCAAGCTTTAATGAGTTGGCTATATAGCTTGAAAAACCAAAATCTTATCCAGTGCTAGCCTCCACTAGACGGAGCGACAGAATGAAAGGAGCAGATTGATGTAGCTGACTCAGGACCAGGCTTAGGGACTTACTATCTATTAGTAGTTTTAGAACATATAATTATTATTGACCCCATTTTCATTTGCTATCTACACTTAATTTTTATGATAATGTGAGTACTTACCTTATCATTAAAAATTTAGTTATATTGCACTTAATTATGAATATTTCTTATTGGCATTTTCTCATTTTATTACAGTATCGACAAAATTCCTAAAGTGACCTCACCAGTTCTTGTCATCCATGGAACTGAGGATGAGGTGATAGACTTTTCACATGGACTGGCCATTTATGAGCGGTGTCCTCGTGCTGTTGAACCTTTATGGGTTGAGGTAATTTAACACTTCATCTCTAATATTATGAAAATTGCTGGATTATTTCTAAAACAGGCTGCACTAGTTGACAGTTCAATTTCTATTGTGAGTGTGGCTAAAATGCATGCCTTTCCTAGCATCGTGAGAGAGATGTATAGGAATATATAATAAGAACATACTCCTATACTGTTAATGCATTGAGATTTATACCAAAAGTGAGGTTTTCTTTTTGGAAAAAGCTGCGAAATGTACTACAACTTTGAAAAACTTTGAAAAGAATAAAATAATATCATATTCTGAAGTCAGTGCTACTTAGTATATAAAAAATTAATACCTTAACTCAAATGGTAAAAGGTAGTATAAAAATCAACAGCCTTCGCATTTTCATAATTTGTTACTTTAACATCAAATTATAAAATCCGTCAACTTATTTGCTCAATAAATTTTTAGAAGACAAAGAGGACAAAGCATCTGTAGCTTTCTTTGTTTGAAGTTGATTGTAGGTGCCACTGTAGTAGCAAATACTACCAGGTGGATCATTTGTCATTTCATCGCTACAAAATAAGTAATAAACATTTCCTTTATTAAATGTTACAGGGTGCTGGCCATAACGATGTGGAACTCTTCAACCAGTATCTTGAGAGGCTGAAACGATTTGTTTCAGTAGAATTGCTCAACTGACAAAGACTGCCGGCCACTGGCCAGACTACTACTCAAGGTAAAAAAATCTTTAGATTAATTTTATTTTAACATAACCATATGACTTGTCTATGTCTATACGGGTATTTTTGAAACGCTCCCGAAAACGAAGACAGACGATAGTATTAAGAATACATTTGATGATGAGACACAAATAAAATCGATCTCAATGCTAAAATATTTTTTTTGAATCGAGATCAATTTTATTTGTATATTTTTTATATTTTATTTGTAAAAACAAGAATAACTAAACGTAACAATAAAAGTAATAACTTAATTCTGTTCACAATTGTATTCTGACGTAATAAGCAGTTCGTTACTACAAAAATGATATTGAAATTAATATACGTACCTAATTGGGTAACTCACACAATTATACATACAATTTCATCGTTTTCTTTGATTTTGTACAAGAAAATAGAAATGAAATGGTACTGAATAATTTAATGGTTAAAATCAATTGCAATAATGATCGATAGTTAACTAATCTATCAGAATTAATCTAAAAAATAATTTTATTACTTTATTTTAATTGAATTTCCTTTCTTTAATCCGTCTAATACGTTGAATTTAAAAAGAGGTAAGTGAAAATACTAATAAAATTACTCCCAAGGTTTATTGTGATTGCCGCCTCTAATTTATATTTCGTCTGCAAATTTTAGTAATGCCCCCTATTACACCACCCTGAATCAGGGCCCTAAATGAAGGGTAGGCGTGGCCCCTAGTTAGGGACGGTTATTACACTACCCTGATTTTACGCTCTTACTCAGTCATAGTATAGATGATGTAGTATGGGTATAGGTATGTAGTATAGGTAGATGTACAAGTGAAAAAAGTATATATATTTATTGAGTCGATATTTTAAAAGTAATTGTAACAAATCATTTACTGTGTTTCATCCTACTAACTCTAGTTGCATAACTCGAGTTTAGTTCGAGTTGTGTGAATTTGAACTTGAGTTAACTCGAGTCGTAATATTTCCAAGTAAGCACATCTATATCTATATTTCCAAGTAAGCACATCTATATATATATATATATATATACCACCCTGAATCAGGGCGTAGGGAGCCTGATTTAGGGTAGTGTAATAGGGGTATAAGTAAATTTGGTTTGGCAGCGTCGCATTGTGTTGCAGCACCCCGAAAATCAATGTCAAACTCCCCTCAATTTTATTTTAGGTAATGAAACAATATTCAACTAATTTTATAAGATTTATTTTTTAATCTATATATAGTATATAAGTAAACAAATAAATAATTTCTATAGTCAACACTCAATTTTAAATAAAAGTCAGTATGGTTTTCAGCAGCATTAAAGTACCACTCAACTTTTATCTTCTTTTACTGACGACGTAAACCATTATCTTGATAATAAAAAACATGTTCTAGTTGTTTTCATTGACTATAGTAAAGCGTTCGACACCCTTAGACATGACTTACTGATTGAAAGGCTTGATGAATGTGGACTGCGAGGACCCCTTTTAAATTGGTGCAAAGACTATGTTAAAGAGAGAGCATATAGAGTTAAAGTAGGAAATGCTACAAGTACAAAGAAAACAGTCACTCATGGTACTGCACAGGGATCTGTGACCTATGTTAATAATGTTGCCAATGTAATTAAAAACTGCAAGATATATCAGTTTGCAGACGATACCTGCATACTAGCGGCGGAAAACGACATATATGTGGCATTACAGAAATTGCAAGAAGATTTCACTAACCTTATGAAATGGTCTCACGATGCGGGGCTTGTTCTGAATGCCACAAAAACAAAAATTATGTACATTTCATCCAGCCATAATAGAGTATCTGTTCCTTTAAAACTCGTTGCCTACAGCCACCAATGTCTCCATAATAACATGTCTAACCAGACTTGTAATTGTACTCATATTGAATTAGTAGAACAACAACCTTACCTTGGACTCATAATAGACAGTCGATTTAAATGGGCGCACCATATTAATAAAGTGTGTGATAAGTTAAGGGCCATACTTGCCAAATTTTCTATCGTTAGATATAAAGTTCCCTTTCCTACACTATTGTCCCTTTATAAGGCTCTGGCCGAATCAATAATACACTACGGATTAAGTAGCTATGGTAGAACCTTGAAATCGCATCTTTGTAGAATCCATGAATTACAACTTAGAATCATCAAAACAATTGTCCCCCTAAAATCAAACAACAATATAAGGACAATTACAACAAATTATTTAAATACTGTGGTATCTTGTGTCAGGTTTTCTCCAATAAAACCACGGCACTTTACTTAGTTAACTGTTTAATCACTATGTTCCGTGCTTAATCACACTCTCAAACTGTATATGAGTGTTTTAACACACTACACTTTACTTTTACAAAGAACACTATATTTTAATTCTACTTTGACTTACAATCTTTCGAATCACTTAATTTCACGACAGACTTAACTATTATAACCTTCTCAGTACCAATGTACGTATTCAACTGCCGCGCGTGTCAAGTGTAGGCGCTTTTATATTATGACTCGATTTTAGAATTAATGCAGGTAGTTTGAAATGGATTCATATTGGTATTAATTGTGAAGATTGCCATGTAATATTGCATAATGATTATTTATCTAACACTCGACCAATCCTGACACTAGACGCGTCCCCGCGTAAAAACAGTACCAAAGATATTAGGTTTTAAATTAACAATAATTACAATAAACTGAAATATGTATAGCAACAAATTACTATTTTTTTTTTCACTTAGCACTGCCTAAATAGCACCATTTGGCATCGGTTTTCTCTTTTAACTGTAATGAATGCCGTTGCACAGAACGGTCCACACCGATACCACTCAGTAACGGCTCACTTTTATCTCTAATGAATGCCGTTGCACAGAACGGTCCACACTGATACCATACGGCACCAGCTCACTCTTTAAATCTAAGAAATGCCGTTGCACAGAACGATCCACACCGATACAATTCAGTAACGGCTCACTTTCTTATATCTAATGAATGCCGTTGCACAGAACGGTCCACACTGATACCATTCGGTACCAGCTCACTCTTTAACTCTAAGAGATGCCGTTGCACAGAACGGTCCACACCAATACAATTCAGTAAGGGCTCACTTTCTTATATCTAATGAATGCCGTTGCACAGAACGATCCACACCGATACAATTAAGTAATGGCTCACTTTCTTACATCAACTCACTGCATTTTACTCACTATATTCATGCAATATCTATTACATTTTATTCTTAAATATTATCTACAACAGAAAGGAGTTATCATAATATTAATTTTTATGATGACTCTTAAATAATATCAAAACTAATATATAATAATCATATAAATTACTATTGTATTTTTCACACGTATGTATATTGAATTAACATTTTAATATATCTCTTCCTTTATATATCATTATTCTAGAACAAATATGACTTAACTATAAACTAGAACTACATATGTTAAAAGGACAATAATTTAGAGCAATATACGGATTAATAGGTATTTTACTCTGAGTCACTGGAGATTGGATCATTTTGGAATACCAACCAAGGGTGTATTTTATCTACTGGGTAAACTCCGACGTATGCCGCTTTACCTTCCTTTTTAGTAATGGGAGTGTCTTGAACCTCATATCGATCATGACCCAGGATTTTTGTTATTCTGTACGGGCCGGAACATTTCGGAACTAACTTTCTGGCCTGGCCCGGCGTCGTATACACGTCTTTCTCTATACGAACAAGATCTCCTATTTTATATTGCGTAGCTTCTTTTCTCGTTTTATCAAATCTGTTCTTTTGTTTCAGTTGTTCAGAAGAAATTCGTTGTTCAACGTCGTTGCGAATTTCATCTCGGTTTTGCAATTGCTGAGATTCAGCAACTACACTGTTCATAACGCTATCGCAACTTCCCGTAGGAACCACCCCAAATAAAGTCTCAGCAGGAGTTTTCCCAGTGCCTTTGTTAATTGTGTTATTTAATGACCATTGCACTTTAAGCAATACGGTATCCCATTCATTTTCAGGATGTCCATGATTAACAGAAGCGAGCGACTCTACGAGAGTTTTATTATATCGTTCAATCTGGCCGTTTGCTCGAGGTGTAGCGACCGCATTTAATATGTGTTTCATACCTTTCCCCACTACAAATTTGCTAAATTCATTACTAGTGAAGCTGGTACCGCGATCTGTAATTAACCGCCGCGGCACCCCGAATAATGCAAAGTATTCTTCAAAAATTTGGATACTCGTCTTACTTCTACAATCACGGACAGCCTTAAGATATATATATTTTGTAAAAGAATCAATGATTGCCAGTATATATTGATTCCTCTTTTTTGCTTAACGGGAATGGCCCGCAATGATCTGCATGTATGGTGTCAAATGGTTTGCTTACCTTTTCAATAGGATGAAGCATTCCTTCCCTTGGTCCGGCTGGAATTTTATTATGAGCACATTCTAGACAAGCCTTGCAATATATTTTAGTAAACTTTCTCATATTTTTAAACCAGTAGATCCTTTTGATACGTTCGTATGTCTTTTCAAACCCAAAATGACCGTTATAGTCATGATTCATTTTTAGTATTTGCCATCTTACAGATTTAGGAACTACCCAGAGCAACGTTACGGTATCGTTCTTTTTGACGATTCTATAAAGCTTGTCATTTTTTAATGTAAAGTTATTCTTAATTTCTACAACATGCTCACTTTCAGGATCTTGCAATATTTTTACTATACGCTGTAGTTCTGGATCTGACGATTGTACTGTTCCCAACCAAGCATCATTATTTACGAAGAGTACGTCAATTCTGTTTTCATTATTGGGCACATCAGTTCCAATAGGATTCCGGCTCAATGCGTCCACGTGAGCCATTTTATTACCAGGTCTATATTCGATTGTAAAATCGTATTCCTGCATAGATATCCACCATCTCGCAACGCGTGGCACTAAATCTCGTTTATTCATAGTGTTCCGAATGGCGCTACAATCCGTTACTGCTTTGAAATTCGTGCCTAACAGATAAACACGAAATTTCT